TAAAGTAATTAGAAATTCAAAAATTGGAAACTCTCATTTAAATAGCACATAAATAAATAAAATTGAAAAATTAAAATAATCGGGAAATTGGAAAATAAAAACCCCGAGTGGGCGGGGTTTTATATTTTACCTTTTTTTGTTAATATACATAGTATTCTTTGAAAAACACGATATTCATTTTTAGTTTCTTGTAAAGAAATAAGTATTTTGCAGTTAAGCTCCACCCCCTTCATTCACGGCGAATTAAAAAAATCATCACAATTGAGATAGGGCGGGTGGGCGGGCTTACATTTTGTCTTTTTGTTTTAATATGTGTAGACTTCTTTTGACAACATGAAACTTAAAACGCTTAAAATACTGTAATAAATTATGATTATTATTATTATTACAATGAAAAATTGGTATAAAGAAATATCGATTTTGCAATTAGACTCCACCCTGTAATTGCAAAATCCATATTTCGTTGCAAAAATGTACCATCTTCTAAGTTTCTTGTTGTGAAAAAATGGCTATGCATATTAAGAATAAAAAGGACAAAATATTTGCCCCGCCCACCCGCCCTATCTCAATTCTGATGATTTTTTCCTATTCGTCGTAAGCCGAGGGGGCGGAGCTTAATTGCAAATTCCTCATTTCTCTACAAGAAATAAAAATAGTATATTAAAGAACGAGTTATATAAAGGATGAGTACCACAATGGCCTTATGAACGAGTATTTTACATTTGCGTTTTTTTAAATCTGGGGAATTTTATCGTGGTTGGTGATGGGTTGGTCTGACACGAACCACGAAATATTTGAAGTTCGAATTTTCGCAACAACTGTAATTCGAATCAATTCGAGTTTTTGTAAGTTAAAATGTCTTGTGAAGAAGTTAGTGAAGTCCTTACGCCTCCCGAAATACGGGAAATTTTAATTTGACATTTGCCACTGACATTCACCTGACATTTCTCGTCATGGCTACCAATCTTACCGATCTAAATTACACCAGATCTATTTCAGAACCCCTTTCGGCTACTGACGAACCGCTTTGAGGTCATTTGGGTGCTTAAATAACTCTAGAAAATCAAAAAACGTGCGCGGTAGAAAATATGTTTTTGAGTATCGTATTGTTCAAAGAATACTATGTATACTAAAAAATAAGCCAAAACTTAAGCCCCACCCATACCTGCCCTGATCTAAACAGTAATGACTTTTCATTCGTTGGCAGATCTAGGAGCAGAGCCTAATTGCAAAATCCACATTTCCTTACAAAAATTTACCATTTTAAACGTGTTTTAGGTTTCTAAGAATTAAAAAATCACCACAATTGAGATGGGGTGGGTGGGCGGGGCTTATATTTTGCCTTTTTGTTTTAATATGTGCAGACTTCTTTTCACAAAATGAAACTTAAAATATATTTAAAATGGAAAATTTGTACAAGGAAATATCGATTTTGCTATTAGTCTTCGCTCCATAATTGTAAAATCCATACTTCCTTGCAAAAATGTATCATTTTAAATTTCTTGATGTGAAAAGATGGATATGTATATTACGACAAAAAAATGACAAAATAGAAACCCCGCCCACCCGCCCTATCTCATTTCTGATGATTTTTTTTTTATTCATCGTAAGCCGAGGGGCGGAGCCTAATTGCAAAATCCATATTTTCTTACAAAAATTTACAATTTTAAATGTGTTTTAATTTTCTAATATTTTGTCTTTTTTTTTTCTTAATTTACGTAGTATTCTTTGAACAATACGATACTCAAAAACATGCTCCGCCCTCTTGGTTTACGGCGAATAAAAAAATCATCACAATCGAGATAGGGCGGGTGGGCGGGCTGACATTTTGTCTTTGTGTTTTAATATGTGTAGACTTCTTTTCACAACACGAAACTTGAAATATGTTTAAAATTGAAAATTTGTATAAGGAAATATCGATTTTACAATGAGACTCCGCCCCATAATTGCAAAATCTATATTTCCTTGCAAAAATGTACCATTTTAACCATGTTCTAAGTTTCTTGTTGTGAAAAGATGGTTATGTCACCGTATATGTGATCTTATTTTTTATTCGTCATAAGCCGAGGAGCGGAGCTTAATTGTAAAATATTTATTTTTTTAGGAAAAATTACCATGTGAAATATGTCCTTAAGTAATCGTGTTATATAGAGAAAACTGAATGTATACTAAGTGCAAAAAAATCCGAACACCTTGAAAACGTCAATATTTTTAAATGAAATTTTATACACACATTGGTTGTTGTATAAGTAAGAAATGATGAACATATGAAGACAATTGAAGAACTTTTACGTCATTTTAATTTTTATTGTCCTGATTTGAGGTCTAGCAAGATGGGGCTGTTCTGTAAAATTTTGACGTTTTTCGGTATTCGATTTCGACAATTTACATTCCTTAAAAAGCCGTTAACATGCCCCCAGTGCGAAGACGTCTTCAGTATTCACAATTAGGTGATTTTGATAAGGGTCGAATAATAGGCATGCATGAAGCAATATTGTCCTTTAGAGGAATTGCATTTCGTGTTAACAGAGTTGTGTCTACAGTGACGGAATGTTGGTAGGCGTGAAGTCAAGACGGTAGAAGACACAGAGCTACAGGATCCGGGCGACCAAGAGCTACCACTGGGCGCCAAGACCATCGTCTGCGTTTGTTAGCTCTAAGAAACCGAAAGTCTACAACTCGGGCAATTGCCAACGAATGGTTTGCTGATGTTGTTAGACCTATAAACATGCGTTCCGTATACTACCGTATTAGATCTTTTGTTCTTAAAACTTACCACCCACACTTTGTTTTACCTTTAACACCTGCACATAAGCGTCAACGACTCGAATGGTGCAGGGAACGTAGTGGATGGGACAAGGAATGGAACACTGTTGCATTCAGTGACGAATTGCGCTTTTGTTTATCCATGCATGATGGCCGTATGTTAGTGAGAAGAAGACGTAGAGAAAGACGAAATCCTCAATTTGCTGTGGAAAGACATGTACACCGCACAGTAGGATTAATGGTCTGGGGGTGCATTGCTTATGGTAGTAGATCTACGTTAGTGTTTATTAGGGGGAGTACGACCTCTCCGCGATATGTGGAAGAAGTGGTAGAACCATATCTGCTTCACTTCTTAAGAACGCAACTTGGGCTTGGTTTTCAACAAGACAATGCGCGTCCACACATCGCTAGAAACACTTTTAACTTTTTTGAAGAGTATGAAGTGGAGTTATTGCCATGGCCTCCTAGATCTCCTAACCTCTCACCCATAGAACATGTACGGGATATGATAGGACGACGTATAACTCATCTTCAGCGGCCACCACAAACTTTAAACGACCTGAAGCGTGAAGTATAAGTTACTCGAGATGAATTAAATCAGGATGACATTGATCGACTCATTAGGTCCATGCCAAGACGTGTAAACGAATGCCTCAATAACAGGGCTGCTCCAACCCATTACTAGCTTAGGTGTTAATATTTCCATTTGAATTTTTCATCATTTACTAGTAGTAAGTAGTAGACTGTAAACCCAAAAGATTTTCAAAAAATTATTATTCTATCCAAGTGTTCGGATTTTTTTTGCACTTAGTATATTAATTAAAAAAAGAAAACCAAGAAGTCCCACGATTGAGATCGAGATCAATTTTTCATTCGTTGTCAGACCGAGGGGAGGAGCCTAATTACAAAATCGATACTTTCCTACAAAAATTTAACATTTCAACATGTTTTACCTTTGTTGTTGTGAAATTACTCACAGAAATCTATAGTGTAGAAAATGAGGGTTTCGGTGAACAGTCAAAATTTGATTTTCGTGGAATTAGTGCTGCCAACCAGAAAAATCTCCCCCTTAGTTCAGGGGGTTTTCCTCCAAGGTGGCAGCACTGCACACTACCGCAATTTGATTGGTTGAAAACGGCGAACGGCAACATCAGTGACAAGTTTATAAATCGACCTTAAGAAAAATTTCATCGAATAAGTTTTTAGATTTCACTAGGGAAGAAAGGGTTAACTGTAGTAAATGTGTTTTAAATTAAAAAAAAATAACATACTCCTACACGCATAGTTTATGAATCCGTGTCGTTTTTACCCGAGACATCTATATTTAAAAAAAAAAAAATATATGACATTTGGCAATTTAATTTTGAAACTGTAAAACTTAATGCTCTGAAATCTTGCAAACGTTTCAAGGATATTGTAATAATGAGCATAATAAATCGTTAATCAATATGTAACTGTTACCCCCTCGCAAAAATTGATGACGCCATCAGAAAATTTTGACAAATAAATCCTATTTAAAATAAGCAAAATATTACTCCATACTCCATTTTTTGTAGAGAATAAATACATTGTTTGTTAATAAATTAGCTTCTCAGGGATACTAATGAATAATTTTTTAAATTATTACACTTGAACGTGCTCGCTGCGCTCGCATTTTCACCTTTTTTTTAGCTTTATTCTCATAGAAGTGTACAAAAGAGTCTCAGCAAAGTTGTTTTGGTAAGAATAAACCTCTTGACTTTTTAGCTTCTCAGGAACACTGAAGAGTAATTTTTAATAACACCCAAACACCCTAACAATAATTAGAATGATTAAGAAGCAAAGTTTTAAGAGAACGGTGACCCAACTAGCCGCCTTTTTTACCCAATATTCTCTACACGAAACTGACATTTAAACATTGTCCTTTCTCTATTGTCCGGTAGAGGGCGCCACACAAAATATATTTTTCTAAACCTAAAAATCCGCAGCACGTGCCTTTTGTACAAGAAACAAAAAATGATTACCATCAAATATGTACTTTAAGATTTTATATATCCTCTTTTACGCAAGAACTGAACAAGTAAACGTCTGCTCCACGAGAAAAACGTCACACTAAATCCCCTCACAAACAAAAAATAACAATAATAATCCAATGCGTTTATGTATCAATTGTGTATAAGAAGAGATTAGCTTTGTTAAATAATGATAAGTCAAGTTACTAACGAACACCATTAGAGAGATAACATTGTATACAACACTTCATTATTTATAACACACTTTGTACCACTTTCAAAACTAGTAGATCAGAGATGTTCTCAAAGTTACCATCCAAACTATTGCGCACTTCCAACTCTTTTAACAAAACAAGTGATAACCAAATTGTCACCACAGTACTACAGCGTTTGTACTCCAACAATGTCGTCGTCATCGGAGGCGGCGCTATGGGCTCCTCTGTGGCCTACTGGCTGAAAGAAAAATCGTCCAAAAGCTCTCAAAACGTCAACGTCACAGTCATAGAAAAAGACCCAACGGTTGTAACACTCCCAATATTTTTCTACACCTCATTAACACACAAATTTTAGTACTCCAAGTGCTCCACAGCTTTGTCAGTCGGAGGAATCCGCCAACAATTCTCGGTCCCCGAAAACATCCAGATGTCTCTGTTCGGTGCCAGATTCATCCAAAACCTCAAAGAACGATTCGGACCAGAGGCCGACATTTCGTACATGCCTTACGGCTACTTGATACTAGCAAGCGAAAAAGGAGCCCCCCAACTGGACCAAAACTTCCAACTACAGACAAAACTGGGGGCTACGAACACACTGTTGTCCAAACGGCAGCTCCAGGAAAGGTTTCGGTGGCTGAATGTCGACGACGTGGAACTAGGGTGTCTCGGGTGCGATAAAGAGGGCTGGTTTGACCCATGGGGGCTGCTGTCTTTGCTAAAACGGGGCGCTGCGGGGAAAGGAGCCACGTTCGTCCAAGGGGAAATAGTAGATTTTGTTTTTGGTGTCAGTGGTGAGCCCCAGGGGGTCAAAGTAAGACTGAGTGAGTTTTCTTCCGTTCTTCTAGTACACGAGTCAGTTTAGGTCCGGTTACCCAGCAAAGAAGAACAAACTCTTCAGTTTGATTCGTGTGTCTTAGCAGCTGGGGCAGAGTCTGGGAAGATCGCGAAGTTGGCTAGAATTGGACTGGGGTCAGGTGGTTTAGCGGTGCCTCTACCCGTCGAAAAAAGGTCTCTTTGAAAGTGTGTGAAGTTTGGGGTAATTGGGTGATTTTAGGAAGCGCTTCGTCTATAGGTTTGATAGTCAAGGTACGAAAGCCCCTCCTTTGAGGTCCCCACTGACTATAGATTTCACGGGGGCGTACTTTAGGAATGATGGGGTTTCATACATTGGAGGGGCGTCTCCTAAGCCTGAGGATGAACCCACAACTGAGAATTTGGACGTCGATTTTGACTTTTTTGATCGGTATTTGTGGACACTTTTGGCTAAGAGGATACCAGCGTTTGAGAGCCTTAAGGTTCGTTGTCAAACGAGTTAATAGAATTAATAAAGTCCGTTTTTAGGTTAAAGGTGCCTGGGGAGGGTACTACGAATATAACACTTTCGACGAGAACGGTATTATAGGAGGTCACAATGTTTATAAGAATTTGTATTTTGCAACAGGCTTCAGCGGTCATGGTAAAGTCCTTTTAGTAACTATTTTTTTGACTAACTGTGAATATAATGCTCAATGCAGATGCTGGTCCTCCCCACTCTCTCCTCCAAAAACATTGTTGCTAAAAGATGTTGACAATTGTCGTGTTTTTAGGTATTCAGCAGTCCCCAGCCGTGGGTCTCGCCATCGCCGAGCTCCTCCTCGACGGCAAATTCCAAACCATCGACCTCTCGAGGTTAGGTTTCGACAGACTCATCACACACAAACCGTTATATGAAACTGAAATTTATTAAGTTCCGATTCTTATAAAACTACCACTGAATTTGTACACCAACAATGAAAAGTGAGCAAATTTTAAATAAGACATTAAATGGCGATGATATGAGTGTATATTGTCTTATTTGTTGATTGTTTACAAGTGCGCCTAGAATGATAAAACTGTACAGTATTCAAACGCCTACAGAACAGGCTATCGAAATAAATATCCACAGCTAAAACTCCTTACTGACAATGAAATTTTTACCGGTAGCTGCGTACTATATAAATAAAATAAATAAGACTTGTTAAAATTAACAACAAACAATAAAAGGCTACAAGAAAGCCGATCTTCGGAAAATTTTAAAAATCTTACTACAACAAGTATAACAGTTTCGACAAGCATCCACTAGTAGCGATCAAAAACCCCCAGACTGTACCGGACGCTCGAATTTCTCGAATTTCTCAAATTTCAGACATTCCCCCCCCTAAACATGAACACTTGCTCTTACTGGAATCAAAGAAGAGTTCAACACAACTGTAACAATACGAAAGACGCGTTCTTCCATTCCAGTAACCTAAGAAACATAAGTATGATTTAAGTACAGTGTGGGCGTGGCGTGTGACTTAAGCAGCTTTCAGAGCCTTCATTAGACCGTCCGTTGACAACGACTTGGGCCTCTCGATGGGCAAACCCAGCGCGCGGTCCCAGACCAGCGACGCCAGCACTCCCAGCGCTCGGGACACTCCGAACAGAACCGTGTAGTAGTTCATCTCTTTGAGTCCGTAATACTGTAAAAGAACGCCGGAGTGGGCGTCCACGTTAGGCCAGGGGTTCTTCACCTTGCCGAGTTCGAGGAGGATGGGAGGGACCACCTTGAAGACGTTGGACACCAGCTGGAAAGAAAGTGTCAGATTTACGTCAGTCAGTGTCACTTTGATGTGGTTTCTGGTGAGGGTGTATGTACCTGGAAGAGTGGGTCGCTGGGTAGGTGCTTCAAGGCGAACTCTCTCTGGCAGGTGTATCGCGGGTCTGTCTTCCTCAGGACGGCGTGGCCGTAGCCAGGTACGACTTGGCCCGATTTCAGGGTCTTCCAAATGAACTCTTTGAGTTGCTCCTCGGTGGCTTTGTCGCCGACCTGCTGGCGCAGCTTTTGCAACCAGAGGAGGACTTCCTGGTTAGCGAGGCCGTGGAGGGGGCCGGCGAGGCCGTTCATGCCGGCGGCGAAAGATAAGTAGGGGTCGCTCAGAGCTGAGCCCACCAGGTGGGTGGTGTGGGCGGACACGTTGCCACCTTCGTGATCACTGGAAAGAAGAAAATGCGATGATTTTTTAATTTTCCGCCCGAGAAGCAAAGAAAAAGGGCCTATGAGAGTGAAAATATGTTGGTTTAGAGTTGGCTGGAAGTAATGGACTACGGTTGGCATTACGGGTTTTAAAATAACAATAAGCAAGTTGCCGAATTTTATTGAAGCGACTGGTTTAGTAACTGAATTTAACTAACCAAAAATTAAAAAAATAGTTAATATAACGGTTTTGCAAGTTTTCAGGTCTTCATTAAAAAAATTTTGAACAAAAAGATATTTATTCTACAGGTTTTGAGTGAAAAGTGTGTTGTGTCAGGTCTTCTTATCCATTTTTTGTCAATAAAAAGTTATACAAATTTTCTTCCGGTCTTTGACCCTTCCATTTGACAGTCGAGGTATTCTACACGTTTAAGATAATGTTCTTTCTTCTAAAAAGAAATGTTCTAGATTCTTCGCCAACTTTCAGCTTACCGCTTCCTGTATTTTTAGGTGATACTTCTGGTTTTTGAATCTTCTAGAATCGCCTTAGAACATCTGTAGAAATTACCAGATTAATGTTCTTTGTGAATGGAACCTTCTAAAATTTCCTCAATGTAGTTGTAGCTTTCTTTAATCATATATTATGTGTCATTTTTAATTCCAGTTGATCTAGATTTTTCACTTCTAGTTCTGCGAATGTTCTAGAAATTCATGGAAACTCACTCGTTTGCGACCTTTTTCTCACAATCAAATTCTCCTGGCTCTTCTGATTTCCCAATCAAAATCTATTACCTGTGTACGATTATGTTTCCAAAGTGAACTTCTCTAGCATTCCTCTAGAATCTTCTAGGAAGTATTTCTTCAGAATCTATTCTCATCTTGAAATTGAAACATCTCTTATTCGACATTTGTTTTCACTTCTATCCTTCTAAAATTTTCTGTTTCTTCTCGTTTCTGGATCCAATTCTTCAGAAACCTTTACGAATTCAGATTAACTTCCTTCTTTCTTCAACCGAGGTTAGAATAAGTCTTGTAGAATCATGTCGAACGTACACTATTTTCCATATTCCTCTCAATTCCACCCTGAAGTTGAAATTATTCTACATCTTCTCTTTTCCGTACAGAATTCTAGAATATGTTTTTTTCTTCAATTCTTCTTCAAGCTTTGAAATTCCTAGCTTTTTTCTTTGTAATTGCACTATTAATTCTCAATTGTTCTAAAATCTTATGATGACGTCTTCTTAGATGGCACTTCTGGTTTTTGAATCTTCTAGAATCTCCTACAATATCTGTAGAAATTCCTAGATTAAATGAAATCTTCCAGAATTTCCTCAATGTAGTTGTAGCTTTCTGTAATCATTATTATGTCATTTTTATTTCCAGTTGATCTAGATTTTTCACTTCTAGTTCTGCGAATGTTCTAGGAATTCATGGAAACTCACTCGTTTGCGGCCTTTTTCTCGCAATCAAATTCTCCTGGCTCTTCTCATTTTCCAATCAAAATCTATTACTTGTGTACGATTACGTTTCCAAAGTAAACTTCTCTAGCATTCCTCTAGAATCTTCTAGGAAGTATTTCTTCAGAATATATTCTCATCTTGAAATTGAAACCTCTCTTATTCGACATTTGTTCTCACTTCTATCCTTCTAAAATTTTCTGTTTCTTCTCGTTCTGGATCCAATTCTTCAGAAACCTTTACGAATTCAGGTTAACTTCCTTCTTTCTTCAACCGAGGTTACAATAAATCTTGTAGAATCATGTCGAACATACACTGTTTTCCATATTCATCTCAATTCCACCCTGAAGTTGAAATTATTCTACATCTTCTCTTTTCCGTACAGAATTCTAGAATGTTTTTTTTCTTCAATTCTTCTTCAAACTTTGAAATTTCCCGCTTTTTTCTTTGGAACTGCACTATTAATTCTCCATTGTTCTAAAATCTTATGATGACGTCTTCTTAGATGGCACTTCTGGTTTTTGAATCTTCTAGAATCGCTTACAATATCTGTAGAAATTCCCAGATTAAATGAAATCTTCCAGAATTTCCTCAATGTAGTTGTAGCTTTCTGTAATCATTATTATGTCATTTTTATTTCCAGTTGATCTAGATTTTTCACTTCTAGTTCTGCGAATGTTCTAGGAATTCATGGAAACTCACTCGTTTGCGGCCTTTTTCTCGCAGTCAAATTCTCCTGGCTCTTCTCATTTCCCAATCAAAATCTATTACCTGTGTACGATTACGTTTCCAAAGTAAACTTCTCTAGCATTCCTCTAGAATCTTCTAGGAAGTATTTCTTCACAATCTATTCTCATCTTGAAATTGAAACATCTCTTATTCGACATTTGTTTTCACTTCTATCCTTCTAAAATTTTCTGTTTCTTCTCGTTCTGGATCCAATTCTTCAGAAACCTTTACGAATTCAGGTTAACTTCCTTCTTTCTTCAACCGAGGTTACAATAAGTCTTGTAGAATCATGTCGAACGTACACTGTTTTCCATATTCATCTCAATTCCACCCTGAAGTTGAAATTATTCTACATCTTCTCTTTTCCGTACAGAATTCTAGAATATGTTTTTTTCTACAATTCTTCTTCAAACTTTGAAATTCCTAGCTTTTTTCTTTGGAATTGTACTATTAATTTTACATTGTTCTAAAATCTTATGATAACGTCTTCTTAGATGGCACTTCTGGTTTTTGAATCTTCTAGAATCTCCTACAATATCTGTAGAAATTTCCAGATTAAATGAAATCTTCCAGAATTTCCTCAACGTAGTTGTAGCTTTCTTTAATCATATATTATGTGTCATTTTTATTTCCAGTTGATCTAGATTTTTCACTTCTAGTTCTGCGAATGTTCTAGAAATTCATGGAAACTCACTCGTTTGCGACCTTTTTCTCACAGTCAAATTCTCCCGGCTCTTCTCATTTCCCAATCAAAATCTATTACCTGTGTACGATTACGTTTCCAAAGTAAACTTCTCTAGCATTCCTCTAGAATCTTCTAGGAAGTATTTCTTCAGAATATATTCTCATCTTGAAATTGAAACATCTCTTATTCGACATTTGTTTTCACTTCTATCCTTCTAAAATTTTCTGTTTCTTCTCGTTCTGGATCCAATTCTTCAGAAACCTTTACGAATTCAGGTTAACTTCCTTCTTTCTTCAACCCAGGTTACAATAAGTCTTGTAGAATCACGTCGAACATACACTGTTTTCCATTTCATCTCAATTCCACCCTGAAGTTGAAATTATTCTACATCTTCTCTTTTCCGTACAGAATTCTAGAATGTTTTTTTCTTCAATTCTTCTTCAAACTTTGAAATTCCTATCTTTTTTCTTTGAAATTACAGTCTTCATTCTCCACTGTTCTAAAATCTTACGATGACGTCTTCTTAGATGCCCCTTCTGGTTTTTGAATCTTCTAGAATCTCCTACAATATCTGTAGAAATTTCCAGATTAAATGAAATCTTCCAGAATTTCCTCAATGTACTTGTAGGTTTCTTTAATCATTATTATGTGTCATTTTTATTTCCAGTTGATCTACATTTTTCACTTCTAGTTCTGCGAATGTTCTAGAAATTCATGGAAACTCACTCGTTTGCGACCTTTTTCTCGCAGTCAAATTCTCCTGGCTCTTTTCATTTCCCAATCAAAATCTATTACCTGTGTACGATTACGTTTCCAAAGTAAACTTCTCTAGCATTCCTCTAGAATCTTCTAGGAAGTATTTCTTCAGAATATATTCTCATCTTGAAATTGAAACATCTCTTATTCGACATTTGTTTTCACTTCTATCCTTCTAAAATTTTCTGTTTCTTCTCGTTCTGGATCCAATTCTTCAGAAACCTTTACGAATTCAGGTTAACTTCCTTCTTTCTTCAACCCAGGTTACAATAAGTCTTGTAGAATCACGTCGAACATACACTGTTTTCCATTTCATCTCAATTCCACCCTGAAGTTGAAATTATTCTACATCTTCTCTTTTCCGTACAGAATTCTAGAATGTTTTTTTCTTCAATTCTTCTTCAAACTTTGAAATTCCTACCTTTTTTCTTTGTAATTGCACTATTAATTCTCCATTGTTCTAAAATCTTATGATGACGTCTTCTAAGATGGCACTTCTGGTTTTTGAATCTTCTAGAATCTCCTTCAATATCTGTAGAAATTCCCAGATTAAATGAAATCTTCCAGAATTTCCTCAATGTAGTTGTAGCTTTCTTTAATCATATATTATGTGTCATTTTTATTTCCAGTTGATCTAGGTTTTTTACTTCTAATTCTGCGAATGTTCTAGAAATTCATGGAAACTCACTCGTTTGCGACCTTTTTCTCACAGTCAAATTCTCCTGGCTCTTCTCATTTCCCAATCAAAATCTATTACTTGTGTACGATTACGTTTCCAAAGTAAACTTCTCTAGCATTCCTCTAGAATCTTCTAGGGAGTATTTCTTCAGAATATATTCTCATCCTGAAATTGAAACATCTCTTATTCGACATTTGTTCTCACTTCTATCCTTCTAAAATTTTCTGTTTCTTCTCGTTTCTGGATCCAATTCAATACGAATTCAGGTTAACTTCCTTCTTTCTTCAACCGAAGTTACAATAAGTCTTGTCGAATCATGTCGAACGTACACTGTTTTCCATATTCATCTCAATTCCACCCTGAAGTTGAAATTATTCTACATCTTCTCTTTTCCGTACAGAATTCTAGAATATGTTTTTTTCTTCAATTCTTCTTCAAACTTTGAAATTCCTAGCTTTTTTCTTTGGAATTGCACTATTAATTCTCCATTGTTCTAAAATCTCATGATGACGTCTTCTTAAATGGCACTTCTGGTTTTTGAATCCTCTAGAATCTCCTACAATATCTGTAGAAATTCGCAGATGAAATGAAATCTTCCAGAATTTTCTCAATGTAGTTGTAGCTTTCTTTAATCATATATTATGTGTCATTTTTATTTCCAGTTGATCTAGATTTTTCACTTCTAGTTCTACAAATGTTCTAGGAATTCATGAAAGTCACTTGTTCACGACTTTTTCTTAGAGCCAAATTGTCCTCAAAATTGTTCCATCTTTTTCTTCTAGAATCTTCTCAAGATCACGTTTTTTAACTTCCACCTTTAACCTTAAACCCGGAAACCCAAATTCCTCTACCTTCTAATAGCTGACATTTGAATCTTCTGTCATCATTTCGAACTCATATCAGCTTTATTCTATTTTCTTCTTAAAATAGATTTCTTCGAATCAGCAGATATTCGGTTCTTAATTCACCTCAATCCTTCTAATCCACGACCCACTAATCTAGGTCTCTTAATCCCACGCCCTTCAATACCCTTAATTCATCAAATCCCACACTGACGTCACTATTACGTCAGAACGATTTTACAGAAAGATTAATGAAATCCGAAAACGTCACAACATTTATTTGAAAATAATTCTAACTAAACTCCCTAAAAAATGACTAAATTTGACAATTTTAGATAATAATAATAAAGTCGATCAAACATTCGAAAAGCCTAGATTTATGGTTTTATGGATTAAACATTTTTAGGTAGTAAAATTTTATTAGTAAACAAAAATAGCGCGCTTACGCGCAAGAAAACCGCTTCTTGTCACGGTGTCACGCGAATGTGAGGTTAAGTCAATACCACCAGCACTGAAAATTTTATAGTCTTTTTTTTTATTTCAAGTGCGTGACTATAAGGTAATAAAAGTCAAAGTAAATAAACTTTGATTTTTATTTTGTATAAGCCAATTGATTTTTTCGTATCGTCAATCAAAGCCAATTAAGAATCAAAATTTTTTTATCCTAATATTTGACTCCAAAAGACAGTCATTTTCTATGTGTCTAGTGCCTTTCGGTTATGGGTTGGTACCAAAAATGTCAAAATAGTGTCCCATTTCAGGTGTTCAAGAGTAAGACCAACACAAAATCTGATTTTAAGACTGCATTAAATGCGGTGTTGAACTAAGTAAATGGTGATGAAACAGAAAAATTTCTCATTTTTGGCCGAAAATCCAGCTTGTGGGCAGTCACAAATTGACCTAGTTATTTTCGTTATGGAACTACGCTCCAGGCAAGCCTGATGTGAATGACATTTAGCGATTCATGTGAAACTTTTAAAAGTTGATCACATTTACATTTATCCCACTTAAAAAACGGGCTACCTTAGTTAAAAACCATAATATTTTAATATTTTTAAAGGCCGTCGAACTCACAGAAGCCATAAACAAAGTGTTTGTGTGAACTGGATGGCACACGTGTAATGTAAGTTGCATACCTTCTTTAGATATTTATTTTATATTAAATGATCATGCGCAGCCTCAAATCACTCTAAAACCCTCGATATCTTACCTGTGAATAGTTAAATATAATCTCATAAGTTCAATAAATTCAGGGTTATCATAACCCAACATCTGAGTGAAATTATAACTCCAATCCTTTGAAGTATCAATGGCACCAATTCCTGACCCGTCCTTGAAACTATTACGATAAATGGTGGCCGCGATGACCGGCAACTTGGCGATTAAATCCATGGAATCCTCATAAACATACTAAAAAAATCCAGTTACCCTCCTTCCACTGCGACCACTCGACTCACCTCCCAGTATTTCGACTTGTGCACTCCACTCGAGTACGCCTTGGCGAATTTACTCTCGCTGTTCAGGACCGTCACCGCCGCCGCAAACTGCGACATCGGGTGCACGTTTGTGGGGAGGTTGTTCAGGAGGGTGACCACGTGAGCCGGCAGCTCGGCACGTTCCGCCCATTCTTTGGAAATGGCCCTGACCTGGCCCTCCGTGGGGACGTCTCCGGTGATCAGCAACCAGAACAGGCCTTCGGGGAGGGGCTCGTTGCCGCCGGGGGCTTTGGGGAGGAGTTTTTGGCACTCGGGGATTGAGTAACCGCGAAAACGGATGCCTTCGTCGGGGTCGAGGACTGACGTTTCGCAGACTAGACCTTTGATACCGCGCATACCTCCGTACATCTAGGGACAAAGGGTTAGTGGGGGTTGGGCGAAGTGGGGGTTTTACCATGTCGACGGTAACTTCTCCAACTTTTTGGCCTCCGTAGTTTTTACGGAAGTTTTTGACCCGTTCTTGTTCTTTGGGAATTTTGGCGGCGAGAACCGCCTTGAGATCGGTCGACGCGTCACTGAGCTGTCTTAAGATTACGGATACCTGAGGGACGATTTTCTGGAAAAGAAACGTGTTGTTAATGTTTTGTCATTTTGTCATTTTTAGTTTAATAATAAAGAAAAACATAATTTTTTCACTATTGTGTTTTTATCTTATTTTTGTTTGTCTGATTTAGCAATAATCTGTTATTATTATTTTTTTTTAATTGAATTAAGTAAATCGGCGTAGATTAGATATGGCCTCATTTTTTTCTTATTATTATTTTCACTGTGGAATTTATATTCTACGTAATTGCACTGTACGCTTCGTTCGAATTAATTTTTTGATTATTATTTATTTCTTCAATTATTTTTTCAAAATACTGGAATTTTGAGAAATTATAGAAACTTCTTAAGCTTCTTAAGATTTAAGCTCAATTATTATATTATTATATTTATTTATTTATACTAACACGAATTTAATGCTCCGTAAAATTTATTTAGTCATCTCCTCCAAAAAACCGATGACGTCATTAAAAAAATTAAATATATGTTTAAATTGAATCGCTTAAAAAGAGGGTAAGACCTAAATGGACTGTTAAAACAAATGTTTATTGACTGTCTGAGTAGTACTTTGATGTTGCTAATATCGTTAGTACAACAATAGCAACAACATTTTCATTGCTTTTAAACAACTATTTGTTTGATAAATTATCAAACCTATAGTTTTAATTTATTGTAAGCATGATTGTACGCATTTAGCGGTTATTAACTTGGCTTCGTCCGATCCAGGGGCGGACTGGACCTGGTGAACCAGCGCGGGAAAAATTTAGACCGGGGTCTGAAAGGCCGAAATTTTGCTTCTTTTAAAAGTTTGTAAAATTTTGCGTTCTGGTGTATCAGAGTTACTGGCGCCTCTGGAAAATTCCTAATTTCCAGATGGCCGAGTCCGCCCCTGTCCATAATATCTTATCTTTGAAGTAATTTTTATTTTCTTGATTTTACAATTTTTAGATTTTTTTATTTTTCGATTTTTCAATTTTTCATCCATTTTGACTTTTTCGGTTTAATTTTTCGATGTTTCTTTTCTTCATTTTTTGCATAAGTATTTAATTTGCCAATTTTTGAATTTTTCGTTGATTTTGAGTTTCTCGATTTTAATTTTTCGATTGTTCAGTTGTTATTTTATTCCTCGATTTTTATATTTTTCATTTCTTCAATTTTTCGATTTGCAACTTTTTGATTTCTTCTTTTCTCAAGTTTTCGATGTTTCCATTTTTCGTTTCTTCAATTTGTTGATTTTTCATTTTTTAGATTTTTAATCTTTCGATATTCAACTTTTCGATGTTTCAATTGTTCGATTATTTGGAGTTTCTCCATTTTACAATTTGTTCATTTCTCATTTTTTCAATTTTTCATGGTTTCAATTTTTCATTACTTAAATTTTTCGATCCTTCAGTTTTTGAATCTTCTTTTTCATTTCATCAGTTTCCTTTTACTTTTCCGATTTGCAATTCTTGGATCAGTTTCCTTATTTTTAATTTTTCGACTTTACGATTTTCCGTTTCTCCAATTTTCGAAATGCAATTTTTAAATTTCACAATTTTTCGATTTCTCTATTTCTAATTTTTTGTTTTTTAGATTTTTCAGTTTTTTGTTTCTTCAATTTTTTGATTTTGTAATGACCAACGGGCGGAATTGTGTTTCATACGCTAGATCCAGTGCTGTCGCGGCGATAGTTTGATTACAAATATATTTTTCTTTTGGACTATATCAACATAATATAACATTTCAAGATCACAAATCTGTGGTCCTGTGTTTGAAAAATTAAAAAGGGCATCGAGTATTTTTATTTGAAGTAATATAGTAATATAGAAGTAATTTTTTAACAAGCTGTAAACACTCCAAGCGACGCACTGGCTACGGACCTTGTGGACCAGATCAAAGCGTCCCCGCTACTCGCCGTAAAACACACCTTGCTTCAACTGGGGAATTGCATCCGTAAGATATTTTTCCGCCCAGTGGTAATGACTCAATTTCTCCATTTTGAAATTTTTTATTTGACGTGAAATTGGTCAATTTTTCTATTTGCAATTTTTCGATTTTTCAACTTTGATTTTTTAATTTTTAGTAATTTCAGTTTTAGATTTTTCAATTTTTCTACTTTATAATTTTCGATTTTTCAATATCTCGTTTCTTCAATTTTTTATTTTTTATATTTTTAATATATAGGTATTTCTTGTTTTCAACTTTTCGATGTTTCACTGGTTCGATGATTTGCAGTTTCTCAATTTTATATTTTTTTGGATTTCTCGGTTTTTCAATTTCTCGATTTTGAGTTTCCCCATTTAAAATTTTTCAGTTTCAGTTTTCCGATTTTTCAATTTTACAATTTTTCGATTTCTAGATTTTTTAATTTTTCACTTCAATTTCCTTCTTCAATTCTTCGATTTGCAATTCTTGGATCGGTTTCCTTATTTTTAATTTTTCGATTTCTCGATTTTTAATGTTTCGTTTTTTCGATTTTTCAGCTTTTTAGTGTTTCGTTTCCTCAGTTTTTTGATTTGATGTGAAATTTTTCATTTTTTCGATTTTTCAACTTCCATATTCTTTAATTTTTGACTTTTTTAGAATTTTTCATTTTTTAATTATTGGATTTCAAAACATTTATTCGATTTTTCAATTTTCTGTTTCTCCAATTTTTCGATTTGCAATTTCTAATTTCGATATTATAATTTTTTGTTTTTTAATTTTTCAATTTTTCCTTTTTAAATTTTTCTGTTTTTCGATTTCTCAATTTTCATTTTCTTGACTTTACAATTTTTCGTTTCTTCAGTTTTTCGACTCTTAATTTTTTGCATATTTATTTGCCAATTTTTGAATTTTTCGTTGATTTTTGAGTTTCTCGATTTTAATTTTTCGGTTATTCAGTTATTATTTTATTCCCCGATTTTTCGATTTCACAACCTTCCGTTTCTTCAATTTTTCGATTTTACAATTTTTAATTTCTCGATATTATATTTTTTTTTATTTTGGATTTTTGAATTTTTCTCTTCTTCAATTGTTCGATTTACAATTTCTTGTTTTTTCAATTTTTCCTTTCTTCAATTTTTTATTTTTTAGATTTTTAATATTTTTTGTTTTCAACATTTCGATTTTTCAATTTGCAATATTTTGATCTCATTTTGATTGTTTTCAATTTGTTGATTTTTCATGTTTTAGATTTTTAATTTTCCGCGTTTCAATTTTTCGATGTTTTAATTGTTCAGTTTTACATTTCTTCGATTTTTCGATTTCTCGATTTTTCAGTTTTTCATTTTCTCAACTTTCCGATGATTTTGAGTTCTTTCATTACTTCAATTTTTCGATTTTTCTATTTTTCGATCCTTCAAAAAATTGAAAATACGAAGATTTTGAATCTTCGAATTTTCAATTGTTCATTTCATCAAGTTCCTTTTAATTTTTCGATTTTATGATTTTCCGTTTCTTCAATTTCTCGACTTTCCGATTTTTCATTTCTTTTTCAGATTTTTAGTTTTTCGTTTCTTCAAATTTTTGATTTTGTATTACTCGATTGCTCCATTTTTAAATTTTTGGATTTGACGTGAAAATTTTCAATTCTTCGATTTTTCAACTTTCAGATTTTTCAGATTTATGATTTTTCAATTTTTCGTTTCAATGTTTTATTTTTTCAATTTTTAATATGTATTTATTATTATCAAATTTTCGATTTTTCAATTATTCGTCGATTTTGTGTTTCAAGATATTTCAATTTGTCGATTTTTCATTTTTTGGATTTTTAATTTTTCGTGTTTCAACTTTTCAATGTTTCAATTTTTCGATAATTTAGAGTTTCTGGATTTGACATTTTTTCGATTTCTCGTTTTTCCAATTTTTCGATTTTTCGGCCTTTCGATGTTACGATTTTTCGATTTTTCAATTTTTTTTTTAATCTTCGATTTTTCAATTTTTCGTTTGATCAGTTTCCTTTTAATTTTTCGATCTGCAATTCTTGGATCAGTTTCCCTATTTTTAATGTGTCGATTTTACGATTTTCCGTTTCTTCAATTTCTAGATTTTACGATTTTTCATTTCTTCAATTTGCGAAATGCAATTTTTGAATTTTACGATTTCTGGATTATTAAACTTTCGTTTTTTCACTTTTTTCGCTTTTCTTTTCTTTTCTTGAGTTTTTTGAATTTGTAATTACTCGATTTCTCCATTTATAAATTTTTGGATTTGACGTGAAAATTTTCAATTCTTCGATTCAGATTTATGATTTTCCAATTTTTCGATTCAATGTTTTATTGTTTAAATTTTTAATATGTATTTATTATTATCAAATTTTCGATTTTTCAATTATTCGTCGATTTTGTGTTTCAAGATTTAAATTTTTCGATATTTCAATTTGTCGATTTTTCATTTTTTGGATTTTTAATTTTTCGTGTTTCAACTTTTCAATGTTTCAATTTTTCGATAATTTAGAGTTTCTGGATTTGACATTTTTTCGATTTCTCGTTTTTCCAATTTTTCGATTTTTCGGCCTTTCGATGTTACTTTTTTCGATTTTCCAATTTTTTTTAATCTTCGATTTTTCAATTTATCGTTTGATCAGTTTCTTTTTAATTTTTCGATCTGCAATTCTTGGATCAGTTTCCCTATTTTTAATGTGTCGATTTTACGATTTTCCGTTTCTAATTTTTTAAATTTTCGTTTCTTCACTTTTTTAGTTTTTCTTTTCTTGAGTTTTTTGAATTTGTAATTACTCGATTTCTCCATTTATAAATTTTTGGATTTGACGTGAAAATTTTCAATTCTTCGATTTTTCAACTTTCAGATTTTTCAGATTTATGATTTTTCAATTTTTCGTTTCAATGTTTTATTTTTTAAATCTTTAATATGTATTTATTACATATTATCAAATTTTCAATTTTTCAATTATTCGTCGATTTTGTTTCAGGATTTAAATTTTTCCATTTTTCATTTTTTGGATTTTTAATTTTTCATGTTTCAACTTTTCAATGTTTCAATTTTTCGATAATTTCGAGTTTCTCGATTTGACATTTTTTCGATTTCTCG